GCAAGGCAATATTTTAAACAAAGAGTGCTTTTCAAAAGAAATAATAGCATTTACAGTAGTTAAACAAATGCTACTTTTTATCAGCTCTAATTACTTTATAATAGCATACAGTCCTTAGCTTGCTTATTACTATGTTGTTCATTACTTTAAGCCCTCACAGCTACTCTAGATAACAATTTAAATACACAGAGCTTTAAAAAAATATTTCCATTTCAAATAGTTTAAAAATATACTTATCCTAAAAAGCTGTCCAGCACTATTCCAAAAATCTCTTGTAATAAATGTCTTTTTAAATTTTAACAAAAATATCTACCGTCATATAGAAGAGCTCAAGTTTTGACAAATCTATAATACAGTCAGAAATATGTTGGGCCAGATTTCACTTTTGTTTATAGAGTTGCCAATTTGGATCATGGTGTTTGTCTCATTTGGGTTATTCCAGTATAACCAGGAGCAGAATATAGCCCTTAGTGCTTTAAAATAGCTAAATGCACTGGGTGCTGCAACAGTTACTGGTGCTGAGCATTACGGGGAGGGAAATCCTTTACTTCACTGCATCTAAAAATGCAAAAGGATGTTAAATTTAGTATTTGTGCCATGACCAAAGAAGTGCCAGGCATCTGCAGTGGATGACTCAGACCCAGAATCATATTCACTTACAGAATTTTTTTTTTTCTTTTTTTTTTTTGCTGAATGGTGCCTGCAATTGCTGTCATTACATGGAGGATGGATGTTTCTGAAGAACTTTTGTAGGGGGAAAATGCCAACCTTCCTCTCATGCTTTCTACAATTCTAGGAATCATTTTAATTGTATTTTTTGTGAGTTTTAATAGAATATCCCAGTACTTAGATCTAGGAAGGATACTGTTTTGAATTGCTTTTGTACTGTCAATCTGAAACAGCTCCATTCATCCAGTCATTTTCAAAGTGTATCTAGAACAAGCTTCAAGCAATTATAAGAATCTGCATCTCATCAGGACAATCTGGAAACTCATCTTTTCAAACATTGGAATTTTTTTTGGCTTTTCCCCCCTTTTTCTTTCAATCTTTGAGCTTAAATGCAGTGCTTGGTTAAGGACATGGAATCAACCCAGTCTGATTGCAGCAGGGCACATGTGCAAGAAGAGGTGACAGTCTCAGGTCTGCCATTCCTGCCTGTGACCAGCAGTGGCTAGAAGGGATCCTTACACATTGGGAGTTTAACTCATGTTTAAAGCTTTCACTCTACTTTTTTTTTTTTTTTTTCCTCATAGACTTTGGCTGATGATCTGGTAACTGATAAACCAAGGAAACTTAAGGATTTTGACTAAGTTCAGTCCTCACTGTCATCTTCATCTTCATCATCATCCTTGCTGGGAGCACACCTCTGGAAGCAGTGCACCAGGGTGGCCAGGAAGAAGCTGGAGAGAATTGCAGCGATGGACACGGCGACTCCAGAGAAGATGATGATAAAAAGGTCTGTCAATGACAAACTGAATTTGCATTCACTAAAGCTGACCTCAGATAACTCATTCAGAAAGATCCTCCTGTTCTCCACGGGCAGGGAGCACTGGATTTCATGGAGACCTGCAAGGAAAGGGAAACAAACCAGCAGATGAATCCTTCTCTTGTTCTGGGTCAGAGATTGAATGGCTGAAGAAAAGTTTTAGGGTTAATTCTAGGTTTATGAAATTGTGCAATATTCAGGGGGAAAAGGAACAAAACCTGTCACTATCCAAAAGCCATTACACAGCCCCTTTGAGCAGCTCCTGGAAATGAAATTATTCCATCTGCAGCTTTCCAGGGATGATCTAGGTGTGATCTAGGTGTGCTTTCAGGTGTGATCTAGGACCATGATTTGGAGGAATTAAAAAAGTGAATGTTGAACCCTAGATGCATCTAAACCTGGAGACATGAAAGCAATTCCCAGCTACTCCATCTGAACACAAACTCTGACTCCAAAACAGGGTAAGAGGGACACTGAAGTTCCTTCCACACCCCTCTACATTACTTTTTTCCATGTAGTTCCAAATTAGAGTAGTTTGGGCTTTTTTTCTGGTCAAACAAGAGTTTGGGGTTAATGGATGCTTTTTTGTCTGTGACCTGCTTCCTCCTTCCTCTCTCTGGCTGCCCTGAAGCCATGCAGACTGACAGATATTGTTCCTCCCTGCATTACTGGAGAATGCCAAGAGCTGGGTTCTTTGTAGTGAAAGCAAAAACCCCCAGATTTAAGAAGTGGTGAGAATACAGTTGGCTCCTGGATGGTAAAAGCACACAGTTCACTGCATATGCCCAGCTCCCTCTCCATGGGGGGACAGCAGGAGAGGGATTTCCAGGGCTAGAATGGAACCCATACTGAAGTGAACAAAGTCTGGAGAGCTGCTGGCAAAGCAGCTTTTTTCTCACAATTAAGGACATGAATGTAAAGGGGAAATGCAAGAATTGTGTGTTAATGACATGAGATCTGCTGCTGAGTTATTTGATCCACTTCCTCTATTTAAAGAAGATACTAAAAGTACAAAACTACTTTTTCTAACTATCATATCTGACTCACTCACAACTCGTGCCCCTCTCTGAGAGCCCAGCCCCAGGTGGGTTGGATTGGCCATCAGATCAAACAATCCTCACCAGAATCCAACCAAGCATCACCCCAGGTAAACAATTCTCCAAACACATTCCACATAGGAAAAATAAGGAGCAGAAATAGAAATTGTTTTCTCTTTCTTCTCTCTGTGCTCCTCTATGAAAAATCTTGAAAGAGAGAAGAATGTACCTACCACAAGAGCTGGCCACCAAATCACACTTTTATTTCAGTGAGACTTGGAAGTAGCAGCTCTAGGCATTAATCAGAGTAGGCAAAATGGGGGACTGATTAATATCCTTCCCTATTCAAAACTGTGAGAAATGAGTGAAAAATTATAGGCTGGAATTTCAATACCTTTGTCTTTTAAATCAGATTTTTAAAACCAAAGATTTTTTTTTTTTCAGTAAATAAATATAATCCTGACAGTAATCAAAGCAGTTGCATGAGTGCAACATACTGCAAATCCATTTGAAGAGGAAATTCCTTGCTAATATGAAAAGATCACTGCAACATTTTGACAGCAAAACCTGCACCAAGTGAATACAGCACCTACACAAATTCCATTTCACTTGTAGCAAGCACAAGAGAAAACAAGGGGATTTTTTGTACAACTGTGTTTCTGTAAAAGAAATCAGTCTTACACAGGTTGAGACCTCCTGAGAACTGCTGTTTTCAGAACATCTGAGTCAAGCTCCTCAAAAGAAAGAGGGCACAGCTGACCATAAGCAACTCTACCTTTTAAAATTTCTGTCCAGCTGCAAAAGAAATTCTCAACTGGCAGCATTTAAAATACTTCTGTGCTGGAGTGATGGGATGGAATATCAGATCTGGATAAGGGAGGAAGTAAAAAAATAATATATTAAAAATAAAGAGAGCAAAGAAGGCTCCAAAAGAAAACTCTTGTCCTGAGCAGTTCTACATACTGCAGCCCTTGGCTTTAGAGAAAACTCAGCATGGTCACATTTGCCCAGGATCCCAGACATGGGAAGGAGCTCACTCCTTCGTTCCCAGCAGCAGTTCTGCCATGGATCAAAGCTGACCCTGTGCACTGTCAGCTCTATTCCTGTTTCCCTGATGCTTTCACTTTACACCACAACACACAGAATGCAAACAGCAAAGGATCTGCAGCACACCAAGGCACTTAGAGGGTATTGCTTGCTATGAAAATCAGTGTACTGCGAGGATTTTGAGACTCATTATACAATAAGGAGAAATAGAGATGCTCCTCTCCATGTAGCCATGGGTACTGGAATCTAGGTCATGTTCTCAAACCAAATAGATAAGATGGGAATTTGCTACTTGCTTTATTCTGTGACAGTCCAGCAGACTTCTGTGGCCTCAGATTTTTAGAGAATTCTTAGTTATTGGAATGACAGATGCCAGGAGGTGAAATACAGACCCCAGGCCAGGGCCAGGGCAGGGTCTGGCTGGTTCCCAGCCTGGAGCTTCAGCCCCACTGTGCAGGCACCACCTCTCCAAAAAGACAGAGTGAGCTGAGCTCTCCTGTCCACAGCCAGGGCAGCCTCCCAAAGCTGTGCTGGGACAGCCAGGGCACGCTGCAGGGCTGGGAGCAAGCACAGGGCAGTGCCTGGGCAGGAGGAATGTTGGTCAGTCCTGTTGGATGGATGTTTCTCTTCACTGAGTCGTGACACTGTTGAAAAACCCAGCACAGCCAAACAGAAGCTTTTCTTTGGACTCCAAAGAGAATTTGGGACAGACTGTTCATTGGAACAGTCAACAGTAAGACTGGGAAGTAGCAGCTATATCTCTGGTGGCACAAGGAATTTCTCCTTCCAAAGCTGATGCAGGGCTTGTTGCACCAGAGCTTCCAACTCTTCACCTGAAAATACCAAAAAATACCACCACGTGCAGGTCACACACCTGCTGAAGATGGGACAAACCCCTTTCATCTGCTTCCTTCCACAGACACACAGCCCTGGTTTCATTATTTACAAGTGGGCTGTTCCTGTGACAGAGGAGCACTGATGGTCTGTACCCCACCTGTGCTGTTCCACTGGTGCCAGCAATAGATCCATCTTTGTTCTTTCCTGGGGCAGGAAATCATTCCAGGCATTAAACACCCTCTGCATGAACAGTGAACTAAAGGATGGCTTCTAGAAGGTGATCAATATTAACTGCTGGACTGGGTGGAGTTGTACTCCTCTAATATAAGGTGTTCAAAGTCATATTGTTCTGAAACCTATTGGGGAATTTCATTGAAATAACTCTACCTGGAACCCTCCTGCATCACTTCTTTATGAACACACTTTTCCCCGCTTCTTTTTAAAACCACACCTCTCCTTTTAACATTGTGGTTCTGGAATTCCAGCATTTTCACACTTCCCATGTTACTTAGACAATCTATTCCTCAGGGTACATACCTGTATTGCCATCCTTATTTTCCCAGGGTGTAGGATGTTTTTTCTTGTAGGGTGTAGGTTTTTTCCTCTGTGTGATTCTCTTGCACCTAAGCTGGCTCAATCAAATCCCTGTCCCCACACACACAACCTCTAGAGGACAGGAGATGCCATTTAACTTCAGAGCTCTGCTTTCTCCCATTTTTACTTGCATGGTATTAATTTTTATAATTTGTTTGTGGGGGTTTTCTGTATTTTTTTAATTATTTATTTATTATGTAGGATTTATTCTTTTAAAAGACCAGCCAGGATTCTTACAAAGGGCATGCCAAAGCAGCTTGGTATTTAGTGCTTGGCTGCAGCAAGAGAGCCTTTGATGACAGTTATATATATCTACATCATTGCTCCCACAACATATTCAAGGAGTTGTTTCTTCATACCAAACAAAACTGTAAATGAAATAACAAGTGTGAGCGTGCTATAAATACGCAGCTTGGGTTATTTTGGTCAGGGCCATCCCATTATCTGTAATGACTCCAGCTGTCCCAAGGACAATGTCACACACCCTGTATCCTTCTGCTATGTCACCAACAGGAGCAGATGTACTGCACTGGTGCTGATTGCTCTGAAATGGCAGCCAAGGCACAGGTGTTGGACTCTACACAGGCTTCTCTCAACACTGGGAAAATAAGGATGGAAATACAGGTATGTACCCCGAGGAATAGATTGTCTAAGTAACATGGGAAGTGTGAAAATGCTGGAATTCCAGAACCACAATGTTAAAAGGAGAGGGATGTTTTTAAAAAGAAGGGGGGAAAGTGTGTTCATAAAGAAGTGGTGCAGGAGGGTTCCAGGTAGCGTTATTTCAATGAAATTCTCAAATAGGTTTCGGAACAATATGACTTTGAACACCTTATATTAGAGGAGTACAACTCCACCCAGTCCAGCAGTTAAACCCTGCCCATAAATCACAGGCAATTAGGCTGCTGCTAGATCCTAAAAACCACCTTGAGTTTGTTTCTGTTCAGGACTATGCCCAGGCTGAAATCTTTCCCTGTATAACTGAACCTCCTAGAAAACAGAAGCAGCCCAAAACCAGTCTGCATGCAAATAATGAATAATTTCCTTGTAAATTACTGAGAAGAGACAAACAAGTCTGTCACGCCCCAGAGTTATAACTGGACTGATCTCACCATCTCAAAACCCCAACAAAAACCCAGAGGCCCTGCTCCATCTGCACGCTGCTGGGACCTTGCAGCCGTAATCCAGCCACGTTTCTCCCAAGTTCTTGTGATCAAGAACATGGGAGAATTTTTAAACCAGGGGCTTTCCCTGGATACGTTGCCTGCTGCCCTACTGCACTGTGAGTTTTGGCTCATACTCCTCAGTTACAGACAAGCACAAAGGGCATCACCTTCTCCAGGTCCACTTGACCCTGTTTTGAAGGACTCCCTGTGTCTTTCTGTCTCTGCTTATTTCTAGTCCCTATGCTAAATATATTTTTGACTGGAGAACTTCTGGAATTCATTAGCATTTCAAAGTTATGGTCTGTCTGTTAGCAGACATTGCCCAGCTATAATTTTGGATGCTGAGTTAAAAAAAGAATAAAATAACAAAAAAGAAGAAGCCTCAATTCTTTCGGGGTCTTTTAGAGTTCACAAAAAGCAGGTGCCAGGACAAAGAGCTTCCTGCCATCATAGCAATGGACAGCAGAATGAGATAATGCAAAGGCACACTGGGACATGCATGAGGATGTATGAAAATACATAAACATATCCACAGAAATATCTGAATCCATAAATGTTTAAATGAGCTGCATGCACACATGTTCACTACTACAGATACAGTAAAGAGCACTACAATAGTCTTTTTATTTTAGAGTAAAATTGGCATTTGCCCTTTTGGGTGGAATTTAGCTATTCCCTTGTGTTGCTGAGTGTAGTTGACAGAGATTTGAAATGTTTAAATGTGGCATGTTGTTTCTTGTGTGGTATTTTGCTCCCAGCTATGGTTTGCCTTAGTCTTCTTAAGCACTGTCACAAATGTATGAGATGTATTAATAAGCAATGAGAGAAGCATTGCCTCTGAAGTGAGATGAGATTTCATTGAAAATAGCCTTGAGCCATCAGAACAGTAAAGCTTAAAAAACTTGAAGCCTAGATTTAGGTCCCTAAATAAAACTTTCATGGCCAAGTGCCCTAAAGATTTTCAGAACAGCTTTAGAGGGTGCTTAGCAGTTTTTCTCAATGCCTAAATATGAAGGTCAACATCAGGTGTTCACATCTGCAAGTGCTGTCCTCACATCTTCAAATCCGTGAAAGATGGAAGCACTCCAAATAACCTTAGGATGGAAGAAACAGAGTGAAAAGCCAGTGGCAGTCAGATCATTTTACTGAAAATGTCTGGGAGATCAAATTATATATTTATATATGTATATATAGAAACAGATTTGATGCGCTTGTTAAGGAATATAATTTCTGTGAGGAGTTTCTGCTTGAGCAGGATAAAAGCTGCTGAATGTGTGAAATGTCTTAGGGCTTTTAATTCCTTTGCAGGCACACAGATCTCCTGTTCTGTCCTGGTGATGTGGGAGCATGTGCACGATGCTGGGGGAGAGCTGATGGCTGCAATGGACAGAACAGCCTGTCCTTGCTAGCTGCAGCTCTCTCAGGTTCTATATCAGTACATGAAGTTAAGGAGCCTTCTCTCCACAGCAGATGAACAAATAAGTGCTAATAAAGACTGATAAGGCAAGAGGATTTGTGAAACACTCAGTCCTTGCTGGCTGTCAGTTCAGATGTTAAACAAAACCTGTCCTCTTGTGTCATTATGATGTTTTGTTTTGAAGAAAAAATGTAATATTTTCTGTAAACTCATTAAAGGCCTGGATTAGCGAAGTGAGAGATTGTTTAATTTATAGAATAAGTTATGCAATAGATCTCAGGTTGGAATGGGATTGTAGAAAGAGGCAAGAAGCAAGAGATGGTAACTTCATGGCACAGAATGTCTGAACAGGCTCAGAAAAATCATTCCTTTCTCCTGGGTCTAGAAGGGTCTGGAGGTAACTCCTGTGAGGGGCAGCTGAGGGAGCTGGGGGGGCTCAGCCTGCAGCAAAGGAGGCTCAGGGGGGACCCTGTGGCTGTGCACAGCTCCTGACAGGAGGGGACAGCCAGGAGGGATTTGGGATCATCCCAGGGAACAGGGACAGGAGCAGAGGGAACGGCCTCAGGCTGGGCTGGGGAGGCTCAGGGTGGAATCAGCAGGAATTTCCCCATGGAAAGGGGGTCAGGAATTGGAACTGCCCAGGGAGGTTTGAGTCCCCATCGCTGAACGTGTCCAAGGAAGGGCTGGACGTGGCACCCAGTGCTCCGGGTGGGGACAGGGCACAGCTGGGACTCGATGGCCTCAGGGGTCTTTTCCAACCTCAGTGATTATATTTTATTATTCTCACTACACTGACTCACTTCTGAATCTCTCTTTTAGGACTGAATTCAGTCTGAATTTCCTGCTTACAACCTCACTGTCACCTGCTATTGGCTTTTTTCTTATCTTCTCTCACTGCCATCCTTCTCCCTGTTCTTTTGCTTTATCTGGAAGTATGCTACTCCACCAGAATTTACTTCCCCATCCATTCCAAAGAGGTCTTGAAAACTACAGAAGCCTTTCAAGTAGCTAAACAGCATCTGTGTCAGTACTGACACTAAAACCCATCTTAGAACTGTGCAGCCACCACCCACAGCTTTCCAAAATGGAGCAACAGTTGATCCAATGACCACCAGTCCTCACCTCAACTTTGGCTACTTCAGTTTCAGACATTCAGAACATCTGTTTTATTTATCACAGCACAAATCTATTTGGAATTCTGTCTCTGGCCACTTCTGAACGAGTTTTTCAAATCTTCCTGGAAATACAAATGTGCAAAGGCTACCCATAAAAATGCTCAGTCTAAACCTTTGCTAAAAGTCCTTATAATACTGTTTTTATAGAGACCAGCAAAATTTTTAATTCTTGCAATGGGTAGTGGGGAACTTAAATAACTAAACAAACAAATAAATGAATCCCATAAACTGCATACAACTTCCCAAACATAAAGAGAAGAAAGGAAGTAAAAAGCAAAATGAGGGCAAGATGACAGAAAGGAGACACTACAGTCACACTCCAAGGAGTACTTAAGTTCTAATTAAAAGTATGTTAAAAATACTTTAGTCATTAGCAAACAAGGTCGCAGGCCCAGCTGCCCAAAGGCTGTTCACAGAAAATAAAAATCAGCAACAGGAATTTCAACAAAGCCCTTCAATGTGGCCATTGCAGATTACTTGTATTGCTTTATTACAGGCATTTATCTGAACCCAATCCCTTCATCCTGATGGGATCCTCAGAGAGATTCAAGAAATGTCTTTTGCACTAATTTTAAACAAGAAGTATCAGCAAAAATTTATTCCATCAAAGCCCTTTGTATTTAAACACTGAAATGGAAGGTTCACAACCCTCTGTTCTGTCATTTGCACCAGTGACAATCTTTTGCTGGCTGAGCCCTGAGTTTCAAAGAGTATTACTAAAAGGTTAAGAGATGAGGAAAAAAAGAAAAGTGCAATTTTAGCTAAGATAAATGTGATGAACAACAAGCTCTGAATGCAGAAGAAAACCTGACCAATATGAGAAGTTGCTGAGTGTATTTTTGTAGACCAACTTAGGCATTTGTTCTTCAAAGATATTTTTTTGTTCTATGAGTTTTCATGGCCCCATGGAGTAAAACCTACTATGAAAGTTTTTATACATTGTAGGGATAAAGATCTTAAAGCAACTCCTCTATTTCCAAAAAAAAAAATTCCCAAATTCTTGATATCCATTCTCCTGCTGATGGGAAGGCTTTGCTATGTATCATTTGCCACCATATGCCATTCAGGTGTAACAAATGCCTACACAACCAAACATCCATCTACAGAAAATCTTTATAACTGTTGTACTTAACCATTGTGACCAACAGCAAACACTTTGTCTTCTCCAGGGAAAAGAACTTTTCTATTTTTTCCACTTATCACCATTCCACTGCTCTTCACAGTTCCTTTGCCTTCTTTGTGTTATGCTCACTAATTTGTTTTTAATCAGTTACCAACCAAATCAGAGGGGAAAATTGTAGTTTTGCTTTGCAGCATGAAGAAAATGCTGGATTTAATATCTCTTTATGATTAAAAATAAGTGTTTGCTGTTTTAAAGTGCTAGGTCTAATAGCAAAATTTTAGTGCTGTTTTTAATAAGTCTGCCTGCAAATTTGCCAGGATGAGAGTATTATCTGGGGAGGGTATTCACCTAATGCCAGTTAAGCCTTTATTTAAAATTTAGGCTAGAAGAATAAATGCTGAAATCTGTTAGATCATTGAAATCCCAGCTGTTTGTTGGATGAGCAGAGGCAGTCAGCTGGGCAGGCAGGCCAGCAGAAGTCAGAACTTTGCAAGCTGCTTCTGCTACTGTGCCAGGAGGAAAATGGAGGCTCCTGCAAAACTAATGAGTTGAAGTACAGCTTTTGTTCATATCACTGAATCCTCCAGAAACCTTAATTACAGAGGGACAGAGCTTCAGGATCAATTATCCAGATTTCAGTTCACAGAGACAAAACTCCCCTTTTTAAATCAACTTGGTATTTGTTTTGTAAAAGCCAGGGGCAGCTTGGGCTGATGAGTTCCCTGCAGTGCTGCAGTGGAGCAGTGGCTGGGCTTGGTGAAGGGTTCAGCTGCTGGGGGACTTCCCTCAGACAGGCACATTCTACTGCTTTTAGTGTCCCTCAAGGTGAGGAACCTAAGTGAATGCCCAGACCCTAAATCTGTCTGCAAATGTCCTTCTCCCAGCGCACCACAAACTCTTGAGCTGCTGCAGAATTCCAGAGGAGAAGCAGCCAAGATCTTTTCTTGGGCCCTAGAAATGCATCCCTACCTTCCCTCCTGTATTTCCAGAGAGAAATCCTGCTGCCCTACTTATCCTGATGTGTTTGCTGCAAGAATTATTCATCTCCAGCTTTACAGACTATCAGGAGCAGCCAGGGAGTCTGAATGCTCAGTGTTTATTGAGTTGCCCTTCCCACTGCTCCCAGAAAAGGCCAGACAAGCGTGGTCTTGGATGAGTGTAACCCAAGTAACACTAATTTAATCAGTTCCTAATGGGAATCATGTTGTGACATCATTAAAAACTGGAACTTGGGTGTAAAATGCTATCAAACAATAAATCTAACAATTTAACTTTCCAAAAGTTGTTTTGCAAGGCATGCAACTGTGGCCACGTATTTCAAAAAGTCATTGAGACAGTCTTTCCTTTTTGGGGTTAGTTTTGCAGACACCTTTGTGAAGAATGTTTTGGTGCTTTATTAAAGGAGGCAGTGAGTGTTTTTGTGGCAGCAGCTCACAAGAAGCCCTGATGTTTTCCTGCATCCGTGCACATCTCTCCCTGGCAGGGCTGGGTGCAAAGAGAGCAGGGTGCTCACTCCAGGCAACAAATCCAAATCCTTGCAGGACAGCCCTACCAAATCAACCACTTGAATATTTGCTCCTTCCCTCTTTGTCTTCCCAAATCAAGTCCTGATTAAAGTTTGGAAGATCTGGATAAGTTAGTAATTTTTCAGCTATTTGGCCAAAACAGAGCTATGGATGAGGGGAAACACTGTGGGAAAGCTGGGGAGACACTGGGGAACTGGCAGTGCTGCAGGAAACCTCACTCACTTGAGATGCCCAGACAGAAGTTCAGACACACTTTAAAACACTGAGGGGGCAGCAGAGAAAGAGGTGGGACAGACTCAAACTGAACAGATCAGGATCTCAGTCATGATCAAGGGGAACAGCCTGGAAGTTCAGTAAAAGGCTGGAGAACTTGAAGTGCTGTGTGAACTCATGCTAACATTAGAAACAGGCAAATACCTGATCCAAATTGAGCAAACTTAAGCTAAAGCATCAGGAAAGGTGGGATAATGGGTTTGGTTTAGAAAGAATTGAGATCAAGGTTTCACTGACACAGAGAGGAAAAAATACCAACACTTTTTTCTCAAATCACTTCTTCCTTAAAACAGCTGACCTACAGCTAAGAATATTCAGGGCAAGGTAGATGAGTGTACTAGAAAGATGCTACCCAAGGTCACAAGCATGGGAAGAACCTGAAAAACTGACTGCAGAGTCTGAGCAGAACACAGAACAGCTTCAAACTGACAGGGAGTGGTTTAGATGGGATAAGAGAAAAAATCCTTCCCTGTGAGGGTGGGAAGGACACAGGTTGTCCAAAGAAGCTGTGGCTGCCACTGGATCCCTGGAAGTCTTCCAGGCCTGGTTGGATGGGGCTTGGAGCAACCTGGGGTGGTGGAAAGTGGGGGGCCCTCCTCTCTGGGGCCCTCCCAAAGTTTCCCTGCTCCCAGCAATCTGCCTTTGGGAGCAGCTGGTGCTGCTCAGTGGCTGGAGTTTATGCCCTGGTGCTTGTTGGGAGACGTGAACTGTGAGATGATCTCCTGCTAAAGCTGGATTAAGAGAGGCTTTGGGGTCTGGTGGGACATGAGTCTGGATTCCCTAGACATAGCAGTCTTAACACTTTTATTTTTTCCCCCCTGTGCCTTTCTAAAAATTACTGTCTCAAATACCAGGATTATATATCTTGCATTTTGGGGAATTCTAAAGCCACTTCAATTTATTTCTCATATTGGAAGCAGTGCTTTTTTAATGAAAAGAGCCCAAATTGAGATGCTGGATTGTTTCAAACACAGAGCATCACAACTAAATACTTCCAGGAAGGGGCTGATGATCACAGTTGCATAAAATGGGGATTTAACTCTTTTGTAGCAGCTTCATCAGTAAAATGAGAGGAAAAACAGTTTTTCTAAGAAGCTGGCACAGAATATTTAGCTGCTCAAAGGGCTTATTGTAGA